CTCTGGGGCCCACCCAGCCTCCTCTACAATGGGTACCGGGGTCCTTTCCCGGGGGTAAAGCCGGTCGGGGCGTGATGTTGACCACTCACCCCCATCTAGTGCTGAGGTCAAGAAAGGGAGGAGCTGTACCTCCACTCACCCCAAACGCCTACATGGCGTATAGTGGGACAAACTTTACTTTACTTAGTTATCCTGTTTGCCTTCACATGTTTGGTAGGTGTGGTAGATTTATTGTTGCAATATTTTCGTGGTCAGTCATCAGGGTTGACACTATTTAGATTGAAGTGGGAAACACTTTTCCTTTCTATCAATACAATTTACCTTTACCAATGTTGTCATGGATTTATATTTAGGTAAGAAGCGAATTATCCAGCTGGCACGAAATGCAAGGTATTTCCGGCGGAGACTGAAACAGATTGGAGTCATAATATACGGGAATGATGATTCACCAGTTGTACCTCTCCTGGTGTACATGTTTTCCAAGATTGGGTATGTATCAAGTGAAACTGTAGATTGAAATGGCATACAGTTTATCTTATTTATGATAGTAAATTTGAAGGGATATTGATGGAAGTGATTGTGGCACATTTAATTTACTGTTCTGAGGAAAACAAGAAACCTCTGTCAGGATAGTAAGTGTCCAGGCTGAAATTTGAATCTGAGATCTCCAAAGTATGAAGCAGGAGTGGTAACCACTCAACCGTGATATTTGGTGGTTTTTTTGTTTTTCTGCACCGACCATTAACATCTTGACCTGACCGGCTAAAAGCATAGATTCTTCAGGAACTAAAGGGCCCTGCTACCACTTTTAACTCTATAAACTGCCCTCAAACACATATTTACATTAGTAGAAAGACACTTGGAAGTTGAGTAGTAAATTACAAATATATCCTCATGGATCTAGTCTGATCCTCAGCTTACTCTTGGTCCTAAGTGCAAATCTGATATCGTGAAAGGGTCATATCACCCTTGTATGTATTTAAATTGCATAACAAGTTTATGGAATAATTTAAATTATGAAATTATTAAAAATAGTCCATAGCCAAACATGCTCTTTCATTCACTTCTGCGTCTTTAACCTTTGTCATGAAGGTGCAGGGGGATTTTAACCCCCCCCCCCCCAAAACTAGGACTTACCAGTAATTGTGGGATTTAATAGCTGTATGCTAAATAGTATTAAAAATATATTAAAATTGGCCGTCAATCACAATATAAGATAATTAAAAGATTAAAATATCATTTTTCGTTCCGTATCGAGTACTCGATTTACATATGGAACATTTACGACATGTTTCGGCTATCATAGAGCCGTCATCAGGTGTTATGTTATAAACTTTTTAACTGAATTACTGATTTTTAATGATTTTTAGTTGTATGCTAGTGTGATCGACAGCCAGCTGGTTTGTAAGCAAGGATGAGTAGTCAGTAAATTTTAATCAACACTCCTGTTGAATGTGTCACATTCAGTACCATTAGTTACCTCAATACTGTCTTATGTAGAGTTTTGTGTTCTACGGCTGAACAAAGAGTAAGATCAGTGAATTGGCCAGGTATACCTCTACTCTAGATAAATTACAATTCTTTGTAATATGAGGTGAGAATTCTAAGAAACTAACAAGGTCCCTCAAACAGGTCTTTCTGCATAACAATACTCATTCTACAAAAACAGTTATAATAACTAGGCTCTTGTTGGTGAGAATGAATCTTTTTCTCTGGACCAGCATACTTTTTCAGCCAGTTTCTGAGTGGAAGTAATCTATTTATATTACATGCTTATTTGTGTGTCTTGTTTTTACAGGGCTGTTGTTCGAACTTTGCGAACAAGGAATATTGCAACTGTAGGAGTAGGTTTCCCAGCAACTCCTCTCATGGAGGGACGTATTCGCTTCTGTATCTCAGCATCTCACACAAAAGAGCAGCTTGATAAGGTAAGGTGTGAGCACGCGCCCACACACATGCCAGTAATACTTAAAACAAAAAACTTTCACAGTTTATACTGCATAAAATAACCTGTAGACTAGCTAACTGTGTCATCGCCACCATCATCGTTTTTCACAGTGCGTGCCTTGGTTGGCCTGATACAAGTACTGAAAATCATGTCTTTCCATCATCTTACAGGTTTACTTTCTCAGAGATGATAAATTTATAATTTTGCACAAGGAATCTAAGAGCTCAATTATATGGCATGTTGTCCAACTCCAGTTATGTATTACATAAAATGTTATTATTTATTCATAAAAACTTTTTATCAGGTTATGATATCCAGGGTTCTGATGCAACTACTTTCACATCCATATATTTTTCGTCTTGAAAAGAGATTAATTCATATAAGATTAGAAGGATTAACTGTTCCATTATTTTGTTGTAAATACAAATTCTACTTCATATTCGTTCTTTCCTGACTTTCCATTTTCCTAGATGAAATAGGATTTTCACAGATACAAATTCATGTTTCAGGCGTTAGAGGTGATTGAAGAAATTTCAGACACATTAGGACTCAGATACTCTCAGTTGCCTCGATTCAAGGGTGAGGTTGTGTATGGGTCAGATGACGAGTCGCAGTGATACGCTACCACGCCAGTGACTGACTGCTTGTAACTTGCTGCCTTAAAAGAAGTATGTCGAACCTTTGTGGCCTTGGATCGATATCAGATATGAACTGTGATAATTTGAATTTGTGTATATTTAAAATGCACACACACACACATGCCAAATACAGGATGTCAGTCGAGAGTTTTTAACATCCTAGTTGGTAGGTGAAACATAAAAATGCATGTGAAAACATGCCATGTCTGCAATTATAGCTAATTACAAATTGTCATATGCAGAGAAAAATGTCTGAAGGACGCGTAGGATAAATGAATTTACAGAAAAATACATTTTGTATACTAAAAATGGCGGCAGTGCTTGTACCCACCTACAGTTTAAACCTAAGACGTTCAAACCCTGGCATTTAATCAGATGTTTACAGTATTATGATACAATAATTTAATTTTCTAAATGTTTCTTAAAGGAAATGGCTTCTAGTAAATAAGAAATTAACATCAGTTTAAGAAAATGTTCTGTCAAGTACTGGTATGATCAGAGTCACATTTCTTTGATAGTAGATGGCTCCATTTCAAGCCCACGCTACAATTTTAGCCTTGCAGCTGAAACCAGCATTCAAGAAATTTGATATACGGAGATGAAATGCACTTGTAAAACAGTTACATTGGCATGAAGATGACAGCCTTCTGGGATACCGTGCCATGTAGTCTCATTGAAGTTAACTAATGTTTCAGAGATTTCTACTGCCTCCATCATCAGGGTGATAACTCATCACTCATATGCTCATACACACCTTTGAAAAATAAGTCAGTTTCTGTGAGATTAAACAGTGTAACATCCCAGGAGGCTATCTGTTATCTTCGTCCTTGCTACTTTGAGAACCTGAAATCTCGATTACATCCAAGTTACTAATCGGCCACTTTCCTTGACATGTTAACATAGTACAATATGTATGTAAAATCTGATTTATCTTTAGTTTGTACCTCATTAATATTAAAAATGTGTTTGTGACATGCTTTGTGCACAGTCTTAATGAGTGGCTTTATATAAAGACAGAAGTCAGTTTTATGAATGCTTGGGAATTAAGTTATAATTACATGCACTCTGTGAAAAATTCACCTGTTCTTGTTAGTTTGTTTATACCATATGTTCTCAAACAATAATTTTGTCACAAAGTCTTCATTGTATAAATCATCAAAATGTCTGTAGGAATAAACAAAGATTATTTGTAAGAAGGAATTCTGTACAAATTTAACATTAAATTAAAATATACTCTGAAAACAGTGTGTAATATTTGTTGTTCTCATTATTCTATGATGATTATGATTTCCAATAAGAATTTAATAAAATTAATTGCTGTTTATCAAAAAATATAGCAGTATTATGGTATTACCTTTTTTTCTCGAATACCCCGTGCATCTTCATATTGGTCTTAATGTAATGACCCCACTTTAAACCATCCAAAATTCACAGAAAATGTGGTAAATACATATGAGACAAAATAATATACCCAGAAGACCAAATATGAACTTGATACGTTAGTCCAACCAGCCAATACCCAAACTACGGGCAGAATCTTCTGCAAGCGCGAGACATTGCTTCTTGTTACGTTAGACCATTCCTGTAACGAAACGCATTGCTGGAAATGGTGAACGGTGCCTTACAAACTGTATGTGAGGTCGTGCTTACTCTAACTGGGTTTTATAATTGCGGAAGGGATGTTCAAACTATGGATATTGATGCTGGCGGGATATGATCACACCAGATCCCTAGAGTTTGTTCCTTTTCCTATGAAACTTGGCCTTTTGCTGGGACATACAACATCCTATTACAATAACGGGGTGGGGACAACTTCAGTTGCAGTGGTACGAGCCGATTGTATCGTCGGTAGTAAATTTCTGTTGCGTTTTACCATTTAGGCATCATAAGATTTGCCTGAACCACCTCACTCGGCTATAAGATATGCTTGGTAACACATGTAAGTTTAACTGCTCTGCACAAATAGTCTTAGTAATAAATTGTGCTCCGTTTAGAACAGTTGTTCTCCATGCTACAATTCGTCAGAACTGATACTTCTGAATTCAACAATATATAAATGTCAGCTACAGCAAACACAACAAAATCATTTGATTGGCCTTTCTTTGTTGTCTTCTGTATTCACATGATGGTGCTGCTCTGAATTACCACACAGAATTTAACAAATAACTTTCCTAAGTAACCACTGCACACTTAACAGAGAGGTTGTTTCAGCAGTAAAGAAATTACTTAGCACAGTCAACTTGCGTAAATGAATTTCGATAAGAACTCGGGTTACCTTAAGTTTGTTGTTTTTAGTTTTTCTCAGCTTGGATTGTAAATTAAAACAGGGCACTGCCGCTTTCTTCAGTTCATCATATATAGCAATGCTGAACCATACCGTGTTATTGATTCTAGTTCAATTGATTCCGGTTAAAATCTCGATCCGTCGCCTATTATCCTGAATTAGGTTACCCGTAGTTTTCCTCTATCTGCAGCGAAATTCTGTACCTTGTATTAGCTGCGTTGGATTCTCTCGCATCCATTATCAATTCACAAACCATCACATTATTATGTCTCAAGTGACGGCATATAATTTGAAGTGTTATGTCACCGCCATTAATACATGAATATACATAACTGTCTCATATAATTCGACTTTAAATACTCTACCCTTCAACAAATCACCATCGGAATGAATACGTCTCACCGCTAATCGACATCAAATCATGGCTGATCTATTAAATTATTAAGGAATGTTTGATTATCTCACGATTTACCGCAATAGAAGACAGAACTCCCGTATTCACAAATTAACTTCGTAGTAGTTCGAAGACTTACAACTTCGCATGTAACCTTAAAGAATTCACGGATCGTAACACCACATTTAGGAAAATGGTTTCATTGCATTTCATGCCATAATCGATCAGCAAAACCAAAAATTCATTTTATATCGATAATCTTGTCGCCCTCGACCAGAAACAAGCATACATACGTGTCATCTATCAAATTGAGACCACCACTTCTGCAGTTTTTCAGTGATGGACACTATCGAATAATTGGTACTGTTGGATCTTTTTCTGGTCTTTGATTTGGCTTTACACAGTGCACAATATAGTCAGTTTTGATCAGTAATTTAGACGTAGGGAATGAAGTCACCACCCGATAGTGATATAAGGTCATTGCGGAAAGTGAGTCGCTAGAATAACTGTCTGTACAAGTCTCTTTTTATTGAGTTTGATTAGTGGAATCGTTCATTTGAACGAATACATTGAATTTCCCAAGGGGCAGGTTGGATATTCAACGACTCAATGATGATTATAGAGTCGAGGACGATGCCATTTATCATTCAAACATAGTGAACATTAATAAAACAATCAATGCGCTGAACCTCTGAAGAGTTTTAAATGACAGCTGTTCTTTTAAAACAAAATTGACTTTTGACGCGAAGGTTTCATACCATTCTGTGGAGGTCAGTAAGTTCAAAGGTCATTATTTGGTCTGACATTCCATTATCATGCTATTAACACGTGATAAGAGACTTGTAGTTGTTGGTCATGTGACTACTGCGTACTCTTCTGCAGTGCCCTGTCACTAGTGCACCGTTTTAGTGTAAGTAGTAGGGTGAACGTAAGTAATTGTTGCTGTCTATCGACTTAATGACCTGAGCTGTGCCATTGACTGCCTTTGTGTGATTTAAAGAGTCCTCAACTTTTCTGTACATCTTAGTTTACCTGTGTAGGGCGGCTTTGCAATTATTTAAATTCCCGCTAAAATCTTCCCAGAATGCGTTTCAAAAGTCCTCACTATATTCAAAAGAGGATGGTAAAGTAGTAGTAGGTCTTAGTAAATTATAAGTTTTTCAAAATGAGTTGTGATAAATTTATAGATTTTTATTGGGGAAAGGGTCATAGGACTTTCATTCCAGAAGAAGAAGAAGAAGAAGAAGAGATCACGTTATTCACATCTGCCGGTCTATCTCTCTAGCTCGCAGTTCGACAGTTACGTAAATGTGTTATAGATATGGTTGGAACTTCCAATGAAAACAGGTCTGGCAAATAGTTGAAACAAGGAAACGTCGCTCGTACAGTGTTTTTCAATGAGTATAACTTACTGGGATGAATGTCATAATACTGATGTTGTACTGCACGAAGGTACAGTTTTACTTGGACTTGAGAACTGCGTCAAACCAAATAAGCATAAGAATCTAGTTTATGGTAGAGCAGTCATTTAGTGAATATGCCCTTATATGTCACATTTCTATTAGTAAAGTTAAAGGGATTGCATTTCCTCATGAAGCAACATTCTAACCTTATGGTTACAACTTTTGTTGCTGTTATTGCAAGACATCAGCCCTGAACTCAGTTATTTCTATTAATTTCAGGCAGGAACTGCTGTGTTCTATGAAAATTTACTTTGTCAAGAGCAGGTTTTTTAAAAGAGTACAATGAGTGCTACAGGTCCAACACCAGGAAACTTGATAGTTGTTTCCAATAGACTACCATTCGTACTGAAACGTAATGCAGATACTGAAAAATTGGAAAGGAATGCAAGGTAACTTTATGTGCTGATGTATGTGTGTAACAGTTAAATAATACAACCAACTATCTTTCATTTCAATGAATGTTGTCAGTGTTGGTCCTATGGGTTGAAGAAGGAGGCAGTAACTTCCTGTGAAATGTTGGTATCTGTCTGCAAGTCTGCGTAGTATTACAACCCAGAAGACCAACACTGACATCTTCATTGCCATAACCTCAAATTTCATTCAGTACATGTTTCTGATGGATTGTTTGTTTTATTTCTCGTGTGATATGTGCAGTTTTGATTTTGTGTATAAGGATGTAAGAGGAGTGATATTAAAAACTAATTTTGATGTTTTCTTTATTTGTTTTATTTAAAATTGGTTCCTAGTAGTGCAGGAGGCCTTGTGACAGCTGTTGCTCCTGTTGTGGTTCAATCCAAAGGAATATGGGTTGGATGGCCAGGACATATGGATGATGTGAATGAGGCTATCCCAGAATCTGATCCAAATGACAAAACACCTACTGCAGGACTCTTATCAGAAAATGTAAGATATTTGAATTTCCATACTGAATTACAATTTTGTACCCATTTCTATATATGGTATAATATTTACTGTAGATGCCAACAGACTGTTATGAATTATGTAGTTACATTTCAAATAAGTATGTGGTGGAGCAGAATTGTAACCAGTCCAAAAGTAACTTTAAAATTGTGTTAATATGTTTGTTGTCTTATATATTAAAAAGAAATCACAGGATCAGTTGGCATTTCTGTTCATAGTCAATGTAGTTGGGAGGCCAGATCAGTATTGTCTAAATCACCAAGGTCAGAGGTCAGATCAATAACCTCAGAGACCAGTGTGTCACATTTATAGTATAGTCTTGAAACAACTTGATGAAGTGAAGTTCATTCTGTGTGGTATGATAAAATGATGACCACATGTATAAAGGTCATCACTGAGGTCAGTGTCACATTGTCAGCTTTCCATTATTAACCTTTATCAGCCATGTGTCATAGATTGTGCATGGTCCAGTGTAGCGCAGCTTGTGCAATGTCACAGTAACATACCACACTAAGGTTAACTTTATTAATTCTGTCATCTGCATAGTATAATGATTTAAATCTCTTGTACCCATATAGTAAGGACTGAGAAAATTAAATAGGCTTATGAGAATGCTGTCTTGTTTGAATGTCTACCGTTTCAGCTTTTGAACCAGGTGGCTGACTTTCATGAAATCTGTTACGAATGTTATGCCATTATATTTTAATTTCCTACAATTTGTAATAATTATGTGGTTGACACATGGACTTGCTAAGTAGGAGTGGCGCAATGTAATATTGGGTCTTGGAATGATACATGGTTAATAGATCTTCCAAAAATATTCAAATTCTGTTGAGCTTTTTATTTGTTTGTTTGTTGAACATGAAATAAAATACATCTGTGAATGTCCTTTATTTAGCTTTCAGTTTTTCAAACAAAACTAAGTATAGGAATGTGATTTTTTTTGTGAAGATAGGTTATAAATGTACCCACAATTATAATTATGTGTGAAATACTGTTTATAAGTGAACAGTTACAAATATGACAGTGGTATGAATTTTTAAATTATATACAACAAATTTAAACTAATCTATAACATATTTACAGCTGCAAGAAATAACAACATTTGAACTGAAGTGGGATTTGATCTTGTGACTGTACATGAACCCAGCATCTTAACTTATTATAAACTTTAATTAACTGAATATAAAATTAGCTACACAAGATTCTATGTTCTTCTCCCCTAGATATGTTAAGTTACAAAAAAAAAAAATATAATCTCCAAAATTATGTTTTATGGTTAAAGAGTGGTTGAAGCCTGTACTAAATTAGACCATATTAAGAATGAAGATATCAGAAGAGAACAGAAAATCCTGTGATTACAAAATAAGGTATATGAACACGAGGCTTGTTAAGCGATTTGGATAGAAGACATGGTAGGATATTCGAACAGTTGCAGAGTATAAACCAAAAGGATGCCAGTGCCAAGGCAGACTGTGGGAAACATTAAAGTTGGAACAGACTTGAAAGTCTGCACCACGAAGTGAAGAAAAATTGTATTATATCAGTCTGTATATTTGAGTGAATTATTCAGGTCTTTTTGTATCTCAGTTGCGTCATGTTTGTGTTGATTCGAATACATATATTTATTTTGGCCGTCTATACACAAACTTATTAAAATGAGTTGTTAAAATATTATAACATTCACAATATAAATATAAAATATATAAAATACGTTATGTTATGTTTTGATGCTCTTTTTATCGTATTACGATATTACATTTTTGGCATCTTCATATTAGAAACGACATGTTTCGATGTACTAAGACATCATCTTCAGGTTATCAATTCTATTAATTTTATAAACTATTATGTACTAAGCTGCGTTGCATTTATTGATTTTATGCGTTTGTGAATCCATAACGTATTTTATATATTTTATATTTATATTGTGAATGTTATAATATTTTAACAACTCATTTTAATAAGTTTGCGTATAGACGGCCAAAATAAATATATGTATTCAGGTCTTGTTTTGCTGTTTTCAGGTTGTATGTGTACATATAAACAAAGTTCTTTTCGATTCTTACTACAATGGCTGCTGTAATGGGACATTATGGCCACTGTGCCATTCCATGCCGGACAGAGCACAGTTTTCTGCAGAAGACTGGAAGGTACAAATATAATAATAGGCTGCTCCTTTCATTTCAGAGGTTCAGGGGATAAAATGTTGAAATTGTATAACAAGAGAGCTTGGTTCAAGTTAAATCTCTTTCATAATGTTGATGACACTGTTAGTGACATTGAACAAGTAAGGTTAAATGAAGAGTTTGGTTGTATCAAGATAATTTGTAATAATATTTAATTACTTGAGATTTATATTCATGACTTGTAACATTCTTAGGACCGCCACGGTGGTCTAGCGGTTAGAACGCTGGCCTTGTAATCCTGGGGTCTCGGGTTCGAATTTATAATTTGTGTTGGGCAAGGCCGTGGTCTAGGCAACACGGAGTTTTCCTCCGTGGCATCCCAACAATTACTCCATTCACACACAGAAGAAGGCAATGGCAAACCACTTCTGGATCATCTGCCAAGAACGCATATGAACAGGTCCCAGTCCGAGAAAAGGAGGGAAGGATCCTGTTCATATGGACCTATCGTCAGACAGAACACTAAATAAAAAAAAACATTCTTAGTAGAGATGCCCACTTTCTTTCCAAATTATTATTTCTGTAATTGTTTATGTGTTGGATTATGTAATCCCTACAAAGCAGTGTGGTCTAATGGTAATTTCATAGATTTCTATTCTGGAATGTGAGCCATAGAATTTTATATCTGTACATTGATCTAGACGGACAGATCAGTAAATAAGACACCAGTGTAATATGTCTTTTGTACAGGCTTACACTCAAGTAAACGAGATGTTTGCTGACCGGACGATGCATGCATTGCATTTTCTGCAGAAAGTAAAGCCTGCCAATGTCACACCACT